TATAAAAGGCAAAAGCTTAAAAGCAGTACGCACTGTTTATTTTTTAATAAGTGTTGCCCCCGGTGAGCCATAAAGTACTCACATGTCGATTATCTTTATCCTTATTTTATTAGTATAATTATAAATAAAAATAAATCATTACTGCATATTTCTCTATAAATTATTACTAAATATTTCTCTGTAAATTGATTTTCACAATACATAATAAAAATATCTAATTCCGTAAATTAAGTTTTCATATAATTAAGAACATATTTAGTTTTCGTATTTACATGGAAGTTGTTGAGGTTGAATAGAAAATTCTCTCTGAACTGTTAGGTGACACGAGAATTTCAATTTGAGGGACGTCATATGGACAATTTTATGTTTAAACCTACTTTTTATATCAACTAATTAGATTAGATTAGTATTAATATAGGAAAATGCTAAGGTCCTGTTACGAAATCATTCCGTCGGGGATTGTAACCGTTAAATTATCATATAACCATAAAAAATAATTGATCTAATGAATACAAACCTCGACGAAATAATTCAGTAGCAGGACCGTAACATCTTCCATTAATATAAACCATTGTGGCTACATTAGTTGGCGGCATTATATTTTTTATTTTTTTCCCCATCGTGCTGACCATGTTTATCTTTGAAAATTATATTTCATTATTCAATTGTTTATACTTATATGCAATCATTTAAATATTTAAATATTCACCAACTTGTTTGATCCTCCCATTTTATTATGAAATCCCATTTTTAATGAGTCCAAGCTATATTTGTAGCTAGTTACCTAATCAAACTTATCAATAATAATTTAATTCTAGGTTATATATTAATAATTAGGAGTGTAAACGAGCCAATTCGAGATATTGATAAGCTCCTCCTCATGATTCTTGCTTGGGCACGAGCCTCGTTACCAAAACGAGCCAATAGACGAGTTCAACACGGTTATCAATATTAACTAGCTAGCTACAGAAAATTATATAAAATTTTCTGTTTTCCGATTCTGGATCATGCCTGAATGAGTTGAGTTATAGAAAACGGTATCGGAATTTTATTTTTGATCAGTTTTAACGAGCCGAGACAAGTTCTAACTCGTTAACTAAACAAATTTTTATACGAGTTCGGGCCCTAATGAGTCGAACCGAGCCGTCTCTTTTTGTTTAACAGCTCCTTACAAGCATTCTAAAAACAATAAACTACATTAGTACTTAAATATATAATTTGACATAATTAATATAAAATTATACTTGTTGATTTTGAAATTGAATTTATGATAGTGTGGATACTGAGATTGCACCTCATATGTATGTCAACTTTTTCAATTTTTTTGTTGCATAACTCAATTAACCACATTATTCAAGTATATAATATCAATACATGTCATATATATTCTTCTAAAAAATAATCTCTCATGCATAATAAAGTTCAATAGTATGAAGATTGTACTTACATGTCGTGTACATTACATGATACAGATTGGAGGCTTAGGGTCTGTGATTATCATGCCATTGCTCGGTACACTCTCCGATGCATATGGCCGAAAAGTCATGCTTACGATCCCTTTGACCCTCGCCATAATTCCTCTAGGTAATGTTGTACTCGTCTAGTGTTCTGTCAATTAACGATAATCATTATGTATACATACTGTTGAGGAAGCTAACATTTTTAATTTGTTCGACGATTTATGTTATTGTTTTCATCTGTAGTTGTAATGTCGGTCAAGAGGTCAACGGAGTTTTTTTACGTGTACTATGTTTTGAAGTCTCTAACAGCAATGGTCACAGATGGCGGTGTAATTTGCCTCTCTCTTAGCTATTTGGTAAGAACTATACAAACATTCTGTTATGTTGGGTTGAATACACTCACAATACATGGACATTTTTGTTAATCTAATAACTGTGTTGGGTTAGGTACACTCACAACACATTAATCCTTAATATTTCCAGAACTTTTAATACTCAATATAATATATGATTTGTGTTGTGTAAGAAACCCGTGTTCTTGTTCGTGTTTAGGCTGATAATGTAACCGAGCAAAAGCGCATCTCTGCATTTGGAATCTTGGCTGGAGTTTTCTCTGCTGCAACCGTATGCGGTACATTGACTGCTCGGTTACTCTCAACGGATCGCATTTTTCAGGTTTTTATTCGAATTTATATTTTGTTGGTTTTATCATAAAACCAAAGTAAAAATATATACTATGCAATGCTAATAATTAATAATGTCTCTCTGTTTTTACTAAAATTTTGAAGGTGGCGGCAGTTGCTGCTTTTACTGCGGCTGTTTATATGCGGATTTTTCTCAAGGACACGACTCGAAAAGTCGATGAACTTGAGCAACCTATCTTGAAAAATGTGACCGATCATCGAACAACCCAAGTTGAAAACGCGTCTCTGAAGTTATCCGACTTGGTCAAGAAAGTCCCGTTGCCTAAGGATATCATTCGCTTGCTCAAGAGCAGGTTTTTTTTTTTTCATTTTTCTTTTTTTCTTTTCCTTCCTAATACTTATGCTTTTCAATTAAGAACACGCATTTGAAAACGAATAAACAAACAAAATTTGATATGTCGGCTGTATCGTTTTTGCAGCTTAACTCTATCATTGGCATCGTTTGTTGCCTTTTTCAATAGTCTTGCTGAGGCAGGGATTCAAGCTTTCTTAATGGTACATTACATTCTTCTTTTTCTTCTTTTTTTTTTTTTTTTTACTTACGTTATTATATGATATTTTGCTTGTTAGCGAATAAAGTTTGTAACATTTTGTTGCCGTGCAGTATTACTTGAAGGCGCGTTTTCAATTCGGGAAAGATCAATTTGCTGATATATGGCTTATTACCTACATTTCAGCTACCATATCAAGTGTATGTTCCAATGGCTATATATATACTTACATTATATTGAAATTTTCTTTCCTTGCATTCGCTTATTTATTATTGAAACGATTGTTATATAATCGTGCAGATGGTCTTGATGCCCACACTCGCTCGGTTTATAGGAGAAGAGACAATGCTTTGCATGGGACTATTTGCCGGATTCTTGAATGTATGAGACTTTCCGTACTCTCATCTTATATTACTAAGAAAAATAACTTGTTGAAATAAGTTTTAGTTAAACTAACTAACTCACACGAAAATTTTATTCCTGTTGGTGCTTTTGCAGATGCTACTCGATAGTATAGCCTGGGCGCA